CTGAAATGTTGTATAGCTCTTTCATTTTTTTTCCTTCCCCTTTTCTTTTTGCACATACAATGAGGATTGGTGTTGGAAAATATTGCTGATAGCAAAATTAAATTGTTGGATGTTATTGATGCAGCCATCCACTTGCTTGCTTTAATGTTGCGATTTTGTTGTTTTGTTCTGTTTGTGACACTCCTATATTTTTCTTATGCATTCTTCTCATTCTTCTTGATTTGGTTATTTGATAAATTTATGCACTCAAGTATGGTAGAATTAACTAGTTAATTTGCTCAGGAGATACTGCCTAGTAGCCAAATTTGTTAATATCCTGAACATTTATCAAGTCCAATAATTTAGAAATGCTGAATTTAGCATTTTAAAGTATTGTAGGTTGCATTTAGGACTAAGGTATTCCTCCCAAAGATCAATAATAATGGAAGTATAGGCTTGTTGATGTTTTTAATGTCTATGAGAATCTAGTACCTAAAAATAACTAAAGATTTGATTACTCTTAATGTTTTAGAAGCATATCGAGAAAACTATAAACCTGCTTAGAAAGAGTAATGTCACTCCTACTTAACACTCACATTACTTTTTTGTTTCTTCAATAAGGAGAAAAATAGGAAGAGAAGAGAAAAGCATGGAATAAGTTATGTGACGTAATGGGAGTAGATTGAAAAATGTGATAATATTAATGTAAAAATAATATTAAATAAATTTAATTGATGGAACTACTAAGCTTAGTGATTTTGTCAAAAATTAATCTTTTTTAAAACTTTGACTATGTTAAAATTATTTTTTAATGTAATTTTTTTTATCAAATTTAAAATTAGAATTTGAGACTTTAAAGTTTAATGATTAATCAAAATATTAGTTAAATCAACCAATGTTGGTAATCCAAAAAAAATTAAAATAGGTATTTATTTTTTCTTTTAAGTTGAGGAATAATTTTCATGTCCCTTGATGAGATGATCATATGATTCATAGAAATTTAACTTTAATGGAGCTGAATATGTAATGATGATGTCAACCTTATGTGTGATGGTGCTGTTCTTAAACTTGAAAAACAAACTTGTACTATTTGAGGTCCTTTTTATCTATTTGCTTTTTGTAAGACATTGGTAATGGAAGAAATTCTATTATAATGTTATGTTTGGCTATCATTTTAAAATTACATTAAGGAAAATAGACATTTTGATATAAAAAAATTGTAAATGTACTTTTTTTTTTCCAATCCCAATTAAATTAAAATCAACTGATAATGTCATCCAATCTTTTTTGCTTGTTGACTTGCTATTCCAAATGAGTGGTAATGAAATAATAGTTATGAACAGGTAGTAGACTAGTTGCTGCCATTGACGCAGAACTTGATCTTATTCTTTTTGGCTCGGGACAAGAAAAAAAAACTCAAGTGGGGTTGTAAAACCATCAAATGCCATAATAGACTTTTATTTTGGGCTTAATTGTATCATTTGTAACTTATTTTACAGTTCTATAAATTTTATCATCCAATTTTTTAAATTATACATTTTGTTGTTTAAATTTCAAAATTTTATATTGGTATTTTCATTAGTTGATTGTATGATATTGTTAATCCATTATTGATCTAATATATTGATTACTAATATGATATTATTGATATAACATTTTGACAATGAAGTAACATGCTAACTCTTGACAAGATAATTTATGTCATATTGTGAATCTATGTCAACAATTAACATATATATTAGTGATTAATATGTTACGTTAGAAGTTAATGTGCTTCGTCAGCAATTAATTAGCAAAGTGATAAAAAAATTTGAAAGTTTCGTGTCTTTTTTGTATATTTACTAACAATATTCATTGTTGACACACATTTTTTTATCCTCATAAAATTAAAGACCATTACTATATCAACATAAAATAAGTGTCACAAAAAAATTAATGATAAAGACAAAAAAATTTAATAATAAAGACTAAAAAAATATTTCTCTTGACAATTTTTTAGAAAAAAAACAAATAAATTTGTTTCTCTTTCTCTATTTCTCAGCTCTCTTCGTTATTTCAACACCATTTATGTTGAACCAAATAGAATGTAAATGTTAGTCGTAATTTTGAGGAACTTTAGTGAAAGTTCACACTTGCAATTCTAGACAGCGAAAGAACATTTAATATACAAAAAGTTTTTACTTTCCTAAAATTCTAACATCAAGAATATTAGTTTTTTAAATTTTATTTATTATTTAGAAATTAGCATTTCTAAAAAAATATTGTTTTCTATGAATAATTTTTGCATAGATTTCTCACAAAATTATTTTCATAGAACAGGTAAAAATTAAAATTTTAAATAAAAATAAAATTTTAATGTGATAAAGATGTCGTCATATTATCTAATTTGTTTATTTAATACAATACAAATATTTAATTCTCAAATAATATTTAAATATTTAAAATTAATTAAATAGACCTTTATGATTCTCTAAAATTATAATTTGTATACATGAAAAAATTTGTGAAATACTAAGCGTCTCCAAAAGTGTTGGACACTGAAAATGGAAGAAATGGAGAAGCAAATTGAAACAAACCCTTAGAAAGGAAGACACTCATAGTGTTTTTTCCCAAAATGATGCAAATGAAATGAAAAGATCCTGAAACACTGTTGTACTATTGGCTTTGACTTCAGAATTTAATATGTTCAGTACATAAACATGCCTGCTGGAAAACACTAGCTATGCACCATGAAATAGACCCAATTCAAGTCAATAATAGTTAACAATAATACTATAATAAGAGCAGTGGCTCAGAAAAGTTAGCAAAAAGGCTAATAACTAGAGTCGTCACTTAGTTAACAAGCAAAGAGAGGGGTCATTCATCCTCAAATTGCAACTTCTTGTCTCCCTTTGAAACCTAGATAATATTACACGTGTTTCATGAGAGATCATAAATTAAATTACATAATTTTTAATAAATTTTTATATCACATGTAATTAAATATTATTAATCTTTTTAAATTATAATTTTTAACTATATATTATGAAAGATTGGTTAGAATTAATTATGAACATTCAGTACTACTGAATTATTTAATAATTTTTCATGTTTGACCCTCTATAATGCTTGCTTGTCTTTGCTTCTTCCTCAAGCTAAAACCTAACCTAACTAAAAATTTTAAGCAATTTCCTCCTTAAAATACTTAGGCCCTTCTTATGATGTTAACGTTTCCTTTCAATTCTTTAACTCATTCTTATAGCTGTCTCTTTACAGCATCCACCCACATGAATTGGTTCATAATTTGCTATGATTTGAGCGCTAGCAATTGAAGCAAATCTGAACAAATGCTCTAGCTAGGTCAAGTCCTATTATACTTGCAACACACAGGACCAAGTTGCCTCTATAGTCCTACATTTTGGCCCTCTAAATTATGAGACATTATTTGCCCTCTTGACACTTGTCACTCAAAAGTAACATTCCACTTTAGAAAAAATAAATTTTCAAAAACTTTACATCTTGTGGTTGATATTTCAACTTATATACAATTAATTAAGATATTCCGTTGACATAAACAATAACATGATACTCTGACACTAATATAGGTTGAGATAAATAATAAATATTAATTTATATTTCTCAATTAAATTATACAAGATTTAAATTTCAGGGTTAAATATAAAATAAATTATATTAAGATGCGAATATATATGGTGATAATGTTGGAAATTTTTACGTAAATAATATTTTTTTTTAAAAAATTACAAAAATGACACATGTGTAAGTTTATTTACAGGAATAGAACGATTTACTGTTCATGCTCGGAATTCGGTTCCCGGGGAACCGAATTCTGAGTTAGTTTAATTTTTCTTTCTTCGTGTTTGTGGCCCATTTTGGGCAAATGTTGGAAGTGAAACGGCCCGTTCCAGAATTAAAACAGGTCGTTCTGCTTAAAGAAACATAGTTTTTTTTTTAAAATTAAAACGGGCTAAGAACGGGTCGTTTCATTTTCTAGAACGGCCCGTTCTTAGCCCGTTTTAATTTATAAAAAAAAACTCTGTGTCTTTAAGTAGAACGGCCCGTTCTACTTCCGGAACGGGCCGTTCCACTTCCAACATTTGCCCAAAATGGGGTACAAACACGAAAAAAAAATTTAAATAACTCGGAATTTGGTTCCCTGAAAATCGAATTCTGAGAAAAAAAAATTTGAAGCTCAGAATTCGATTCTCAGAAAACCGATTTCTGAGCATGAATAATAAACAGTTCTATTCCTGTAAATAAACTTGTACAGGTGTCATTTTTATAATTTTTTTTAAAAAAAATATTATTTACGTAAAAATTTCGATAATGTTGAACAAGATTCAGTTATGATAGTGAATAGTTGGTATTACCGGTATGGTAGGAAATAGACAAAACTCTGCAAAAAAATTGTACTGAAAAGATATTACTGTCATATGGAAGGTCATGATGGGTTGGATAAGACCAACGCTCAACGGTATCCTTTGCATTTCCACTACTCACTCACTTGTACCTTTTTCTTTTTATCTTGTTTTATTTAATTTAATTTTTTAATGTTATAAAAAAGTCACGTCAATTTTCCAGTTTCAAGTTTCAAGGCTTTTGCTTCACGTCCTCGTAGTAGCCATTGTTCTTCTAATCACCTAATTAGAAAATTCTACCAACATGGAACCCGTCAATTGCGTGGTCTCAGATTCACCAACGTGGAAAAAAGATGCCATCGTTCTCTCTTTGGACATCATTCTTCTCACTTTCTAACCCCCTTTAATGCACCCCACTCCTTATCGTAAATCAAAATTCATTTGCTAATAAGAAGGTTCGTTTGTTTTAGGACATGATCAAGTATATCTATATTATTATTAAGCACGTTTTTAGTGACAATAATTTGCTTGCTTGCTACCGAAATTGAAGGATCAAACAAAAGATGAAAAGGGTGTAAAAAATTTAATAAAGTGAGATTATGGTCGAGAGAAACGGACACATAAATTAGGAGAAGACGTTAAGATTTTTGTGCTGCCGACAGCTACACACAAAACAACACAACACCCACACACACACACAATATAGTGAGTCATGACCCTCCCCACTCACTTCTTTCATCACTCTTCAATTCGTTACCCCAATCCCCACCTTCACGAGAAAAATATTTTCATGATCCTCCAATGGGGACAAACCCCGTGGTGCACCATAAATACCCTTTAGTTCTACCCTCTCTCAACCTTGCTTCTTTCTCTCTCTCTCTCTCCTCTTTCCCGCCAACACTTGCTAACAATATTTCTCTCTCTCTCTTCCTTACCCTTTGGAGTAACAAACCCTAAACCCCTCATCTACTACCATCTCTCTCTCTTTATTTCACACTCCTTCGTCTTCATGCAACTAAAACTACCACCTTTTTCCATTTCCGCACTCTCTTCTTCACTAAAATGAGTGACAAACACCAACCTTTGAAGCTCCACCACCCCTTTTACCCACCAACCCCAAGCACCAATTTTGACGGCGACCCACCATGCAAAACCGCCGGAAAACCCCTTAAGCTCATCCGGGTCATCCTCACCGACCACGACGCCACCGACTCAGACTCCTCCGCCGACGACGAGGACCCAAAAGAACAGCGAAAAGTGAAGAGAAGAATCACCCACATCACTATAAACCTTCCCTTTTTATCACAAACCCCAACACCAACTTCAAAAACAAAACTTTCTTCTTTTTCTTCTCTTGACCCGACCCGTTTAGCTAGACCCGAGAAACGACCCGGTGGTCCTCGCCGCCGGAACAAGTTTCGCGGCGTCCGGCAGCGTCCGTGGGGACGGTGGACGGCCGAAATCCGCGACCCGACCCGCCGGAAACGGGTCTGGCTTGGCACGTTCGACACGGCGGAGGGAGACGCCGGGGGTTACGACG